CCGTGCGCTTTGCCCCCGTCGAGTTTGATGAAGACCTCATCGCCCGCGTCCAGGTGCAGGATCACGCTGTTGCTGGCGTAGTCGTAGTTCTGGTCTGCGTCCTGGGCAATGGCACTGGCCCGCACCTGCGGGGGTGGGAGAGTAGGGGTGTGTGCCAGAGGGGAGCGGGGAGAGAAGTGGGGCCAAGGATGGAGGGAACTGTTCGAGGTAAAGCGGCCACATCAGAGGATCTGGAGGTCCTAAAAGCTCCACTTCCAGCCCCATCAGGGCCCTGAGCCTGCTCCTCTCCCAACATCCCTACCCCCTCCACCCCCACCCCCCCTTTCCAATCATAACGTGTGTTTTAGGTGATTACAGAGGAGCCCGGGATTTGCAGGGGCTGGTGTAATCTGGGTCTGCATTGGGAGTCCAGGTAGAGTCTGCTTCCCTAACTTCTCTAGGTCTTACCAGGTGGCCTGCCGAGAACCTCAGTGCCTCCAGGATGGCCCAGCCTGGAACCCCCTCTTGCAGAGAGAAATTCTTTGGACCCCCAAAGATAGAGGGCCCTTCTCTCTCATTATTCCTTCATTTCCGCTTTCATTGTAATACAGATTGCCGTCTTTTCCAGCCACATCCACCTGTTCTCATGTCGGAGGAGGGGCACAGTGCACACCCTGGCCCCATACAAGCAACCACCCTAGTACCAGGACCTGCTACTGGGACTCCTTGTCTGAAGTTCATTCTGGAGTCTGTCCGCCGGAGCAGTAGGATGGAAGGTCTGGTAATTATTTCCCCTCCCAAGGCTCAGATCAGGCCTGTACCCCTGCCTCCAAGGAGCTGTCGCTATACCTGTGATTATTGCCCCACTCAAAAAGGATTTCCTTTGTATTATTATTTTTAATCCTCACCTGAGATATATTTTTATTGGTTTTAGAGAGAGGAAGGAAGAGGGGGAGAGAGAAGAAAAAAAATCAGTGAATCAATGTGAGAGAAATATTGATTGGTTTCCTACCAAATCCACACCCTGGGTCAGTGTCCTGGCCAGGAATGGAACCCATGACCCTTTGGTGCATGAGACAACGCTCCAACCAACTGAGCCACACCAGCCAGGGCTCAAAGAGGATTTCGGACTCCGTTTCACCCCATAGTGGGAGAAAGGAAGTAGGTGGAAAGAAGGGAATCCTTACATCACTCTGTGATCCTCAGTCTGATCTGATATACTTGCTGGTTCTTGTTTTGATGGAGGAGGGGAGGAATGGTAGGGCAATGAGGCAAGCATTTGGGTTTGAAGCCTGCCACCATCGCTTTTGCAGGCTCTGACTGTAGTCATAAGATACTGAAGGTGGGAGGGGGTGGAAAAATTCCCTCCAGGCATACCTTTTCCACAGCTGAGGCCAAAGCAAGGCCTGAACCGCAGGACCTGGAGCCTCCCCAGGACATCCGGGGTGACGAATGGGAAGAGAAGAACTATCTCCAAGGTTCTGGCTTGTGTTGGGGGAGGCTGCACTGAAAGGGTTCACTCAGCCAGGCTCCTCAACAGCCCCACTCCGTCCTGCCCCTTTCCTGAAAGCAGCTCCCCCATGGGCTGACAGTCCAGGCTGGACCAACCCAAACTAGGGGAGGAGCCCATCCTTCTGGGTGGGGCGAGTAGGCTGTGCTAAAGCTGCTGACTCAGCAGCCGTGCTGCAACAGGAGGACCCATCATATTTGCATGCAGACTGCCCTTTAAGGCCCAGATCCTTCCAGCCATCTTCTCCCCCGTCAACCTCTTCTTCTCCAACCTGGGAAGGAATAGTTTGGGGAACTTGCAGGAAAAACTCACAGCCCACCTAAAGGTGGGGGCAAATCAAATAAGGGGGGGACCTCGTTTGTCAAGAAGCCCAGTTTCTCTGTTTAGAAAATACATGAGAAGATCCTGCCTCAACCACTGTCACCTTTATAACAAAGCCTTATGATGGTAAAAAAAACAAATTTTTTTCATCTTGTTGGGGCTTTGAGCTACTAGGGAAGAGCTGAAAGCAAGCAGCCAACTTCCGGATTGTTCCCTGGGCCCTAATCCTGGCAGTATTTATTATTATGCATGCATTTCATTATCTCTGCTAATAAATTACTGCTAATAACAATTATTTTTATTACCCAGATTAATTTAGCCTTAACTCATTAAAACAGTGTGCTTGTTAATAGCAAAATCCATTAGAATACAGTCATCTGTCATCAGGAATCTCCTGATGATGTGACAGGCATCAGAACTGTTATGCCTCTATTTATTATTTATTCATCACCATGATTGTTGCTGTGATTATCCTAATTATCCATGGACGCAGGGAGAATTTATGCCCTTCCATGCTTAGGTGGTGAGGGATCCCAGAACGGAACCCAGGGGTCCTGATTCTCTGCCCAAAACTGAAACAGGGGAGGCATATAGCTCCTCCTGGGGCCCAAGGGAAAGTTTGGGGAATTGAGGTTGCCATGGAAGCAAAAAAGCAAGTCTGTGACTTGTCAGGAGGGGGCACTGTATAATCACCTCTTCACGGGCTGCCAGGAAGGGAAACTGAGGCAGTGGTTTGACCAGAGGCCTGGAAGGGGTGGGGGGAGAACCCAGGGAATATGTCCTTGTCCCCAGGTCAATGCTGGGAGGTGTGCCTCCCATAGATAGTTAGCTTTGCCTGCAGGAGACACACATTGATTGGGTCCCTACTGTGCCAGCCACTGTGCTCTGCTGTCTGAAAGGCATTAGAAGCCATAGAGGATAGCTAGGGCCCCTCTCCCATCATCAGCCAAGAGGTTGATCTCCAGTTAGGTCTTTATACCACAGCCCTCAGTTTATGTACCCTACCACCGCTCACTCAGACTCTAGCCCAGCCGTGGGCAAACTACGGCCCGCGGGCCGGATCCGGCCTGGTTGAAATAAATAAAACTAAAAAAAAAAAAAAAAAAAGACCGTACCCTTTTACGTAATGATGTTTACTTTGAATTTATATCAGTTCACACAAACACTCCATCCATGCTTTTGTTCCGGCCCTCCGGTCCAGTTTAAGAACCCATTGTGGCCCTCGAGTCAAAAAGTTTGCCCACCCCTGCTCTAGCCCCTGCTCATTTGTAACACTCACCTTCCCCAGCCTGTCCCCACACAGCTCTATCTCCCCCTTCCCATTTATCAACTGCATGTTCTCCTTGACTCCTACGAACTGTGGATCTTAGAGGCAGCTGCAAGGAGCTCACCTCCCCCAGGGTACCGGCTCCAATCTAGAGCCTCTTTCTCAGGCTCCTCAGGTCCCCATGTCCTAATGACCAGGGCCTGGTGCCATCAGGCTGTGAAGTGGTGACTCAAAGCCACCCCTGGGGAGAGGGGCCAGGAGGGCTTAGACAGCAGATAGGCAGCTTCAGCACCAGGCAAGAAAGTGGTGACTTCTCTCCTTTCCATCTTGCCCAGGGAGGGGCCAAGGCCTAGATGCAGCTCTGCCTTCCTGAAGAAATTCTGAAAATCTCTGTGTAGAGAGAAAGCCAGAAAGAAAAGAATAGAGCCCGTGGTTGCCCCTGGTCTTAAAGACAGGGGAGGTGCAAGCTCCCCTCTTTTGTTCCCTTCCATTGACCAGCCCCGTCATATTTTCCTCGGCTCACTTGAATGTCCTCTTCTATCTCTGAGTTGTTCCCCAACTTGACCTTTTTATTTCCTCTCTAGCCATGTCCCTTCACCTTGGGGACCAGGTTCACCATCCTCTCCTCCAACCAGGTTGGTCTGAACTGGGTCTCAGGTTCCACTGAATCACTCCCACCAGCCAAGACATTTTGGGATAGCAGCTCCCAGCCCTCCTCTAACACAGCAATGGCTGTGGTATGTTACTGTGTGGTTACTACTGTCTCCCTGCACAGACCATGAGGTCTTGGAGGGCAAGCAGATTGAACCTCTGGAAGCAAGCCTCAAACCACGCTCCTAGTAGGGGCTCAAAACTAATACTATGTGGAATAATGAGTGAGATTATATGAGTCTCTTGGATAATCTGGAAGGAGGGTTCACCAAGAATGTGCCCCCCTATTTGTCTTGTTTTGGGAGGTGGGTTAGCAAATGGTATGCGTAATTGTTAAAATGCTAGGTGTTTGAGATTCCTAGTTAAAGCCACCTCCTTTCTTCTAATAGTTTATGGTCCCACCTCCTAGGCAGGCTCTGCCAATCATCTGTCCCAGCTGGAGGTGAAAGAAGAGACTTTTGAGTCAGTCTCACCTCCCAATTATTTTATCTTTTTGTTGTTGTTGTTAATCCTCATCCAAGGATATTTTTCCATTGATTTTTAGAGAGTGGAAGGGAGAGGAAGAGACAGAGAGAAACATTGATGTGAAAGAGACACATCGATTGGTTGCCTCCTGCATGCACCCCAACCAGGGCCTGGGAACCTGCAACGGAGGTACTTGCCCTTGAATCAAACCTGGGACCCGTTAGTCTGAGGGCTGACACTCTATCCACTGAGTCAAACCTGGGAGGGCTCACCTCACAATTACTGAAGCAAGTACCCCTGCCCCAAGCACACACCATCTTTGGGGCCTCCTCTTGCCTCATCTCAGGGACCTGCTGCAACCTCCTGAAGTGGCACAGGGTCTAGGGCCCACTTGTGGTCTGGTGACCACTTCCCTCTCCAGACAAGCTGGGCCCTGGCCCCTCTGGAACCTTAGCTTGGTGCCAGCCCAGACTTTCTTTGGGAAAGGAAGAACT